CTTTGTTTTTTTATCGTAATTTTTTTTTTCATTCTCCCTAAAATTTTTTTGGAGTTTCTCTTTTCCATCTTCCCTCTTTCTCTATTTTTTCTATTACTATTATTCTCTTTCTTCTTTACTCACCATAAAAAGTAATTTTTTTTTCCTCCATGATTCCCGTGACTGACGATGGATGCATCAAAGCCGACGAAGGAGGTCGTTCGCCGAAAAAAGAAGATCGAGGAATGGGGGAGCGAGAGAGCGAGGTTGAGCGAGGTTGAGCGAGAATTGAGGGAATCTAAAAATACTATCTCAATATTAATTCAAATTTGTTTCCCGAAATCTATTCTCAATCTCATTAAATCTCTCAACGTAGTTTTAATTAGGATTGAATTAAATACCCCTCATGTTGCTTTCATCTCTTTCATTCCTAATTTAAAATTTTAATCAAATGAAAATATCAATTTAAAATCTAATTACGAAAAGAAAGTATTCGAATTTGAAATTTAATTCAAATTTGTTTTCCAAAATCTCTTTTTTAATTAGATTTTAAATTGATACATTTGATTAAAATTTAAATTAGGAATGAAAGATGGGAAAGCAAAATGGGGGGATTTGAAAAGCAAAATTGGGGGATTTGAAATTCAATTATAATTAAAACTACATCGAGAGATTTAAGGAGATTGATGAGAGATTTCGGAAAACAATTTGAATTAATATTGAGATTCCGTTTTTCTCAAAATTAATTTGATTTGATAATCATTAATTCAAAATTAATTTTTAGATACTATAAAAAAACAATCTCATTAAAAATATTATTTTTAGATTCCATCGATCTCTCCCGCTCACCCTCGCTCTCTCTCTCTATCTCCTCCCTCATTCCTCTTCCACTGAGCTTCTTTCTTCGGCGAATGACTTCCTTCGTCGGCTTTGATGCAGCCGTCGTCAGCGAAGTCACGGGAACCATGGATGCTGCTGGTTTTAAAAAAAAAAGCTGAAAGATTTAGGGTTTTTTTTTAAAGTAAATTGTTTTTTGTGGTCAGTAAAGAAGAAATGGAATAATAGTAATTAGAAAAAATACAGAAAGATGGGAGAAGGAAAAGAGAAACTCCAAGAAAATTTTAGAGAGAATGAGAAAAAAAAAATTTCGCTGAAGAGGAAAAGAGAATAATGAAAAACGATAAGAAAAAAAATTCTGTAAAAAGAGGTAGATGGAGGTAGAGAGAGGAAATCAGGAGGGAAGTCTAAAATATTAGTGGAGAGGTAGTGAGGGTGGTGTGGAGGTGATGTCAGCAAATGCCTATAAAACTTGTGTTTTGAAAATGATGATTAAAAAACTTAAAAGTGCCCTATAGAATGCTTATTTTGTCCATTTTCTCAAGAAAAAAGTGTTATTTAAATAAAGGTAAAATAAGTAATTTCACATAAAAGGTGACATCGGCAAAAGTATAGAAAATTTATGCTTTCAAAAGTTTGGCAAAAAACTGGGCCACCTGAAATGCGTCATTCTTGCTTTTTCTAGTTTGTAACAATGTTGTCCATATCTCGAACATTTTTGTCAAGATTTAATAAAGTTTCTATATATGTAGATTGATAAATTGAAAAGAGACCAAATGTGTTTATAAATTACAAAGACAAATCATTATATGATAAAAATCGACACTTAATTTTGATGAGATTTTTCTTTAGGGATTAAATCGTTACAAATTTTAAATTAAAGAGACTAAATTGTTGCGTATTAAAATTGAGTGGCTAAATTGTTACCACTTTAAAAGTATACGAACTAAATCGTTACAAACTAAAGTTTAGGAACTAAATCATTACTTCAGAGGGACAAAGTGTGTTCTTTGACCTTTTTTTAGTTCATTATGTTACATTCGAATCAGCAAGTTTCTCGACAACCAACAAGATTCATTCATATTGAGCCATTTGAGAGATCTTACGTTGTTTAGTTAACCTATGTCAATTATTACATCATTATTCCATTAGGTCAACTACCGATCAACTCAACCTAGTAACCAATTAGAAATCGAATTCAAACTTCAATGACCAATTAAAACCTAAATTCAAATATGTCACTTTTCAAATTTTATGACAAAATGGAAATTAAATTTAAATCTCAATGACCAAAAGTGATGATTTTTAAAATTTAGAAACCAAACAAAAACTAAGTTCAAACCTTATGGACCAAAAATGTATTTTACCCAAGGTTATATGTTACCAATGTTAGTAAAATATACGCATATACGTAGATTATAGCATTATAGCATTATAATAGTAGGGATGAGATTCAAATTTTCAACCAGTGGTGAAGATTACTAATGTCATTTAACTATGCTTCAGGTTAACCTTATAAAGAAAAAAAAAGTGCAAAATGAAGACTTCCCAAGTAGTATTCAAGTTAGTACTAGTCTCCAAACATTCTTAAATGGACAAAATTTTCCTCCTGAAGATTCAGGAGGAAGCTCCTCCTGAATTCATGCGTGGTCCAGTAGTATATAAACAAGTGGATTTTTTAATTTTGTGATCCACTTGTCTATATGTTACTAGACCACATACGAATTTAGGAGCTTCCTCCTAAATCTTCAGGAGGGAAGTTTTTTCCTTCTTAAATTCATAGTTTTGATGGAATTTGGCGCTACTATGATTGCAACCATTAACGAGGGAATTCGAACTTACAATATAGAGAGATATCGGTGCATGGCAACTTAAACCATGCTTAAGTTGGTGAAAATTATTGATCTATTAATACTTGTGTGGCAATAAATTTTTTTAACTTTTTTTTAGTACAACATGTGAGAGTAGGGATTCGAACTCACGACTTTCTGGTTGGGCATAGGTGTCTTAACTTAACACGTTGAATTATGTTTAAGTTGGCTATTTTATTTTATTTTATTTGACCTTATATAAAATTCAAAATATAATTTAATATGCTTAGGACAAAATTCATTTATTAAATTAAAATGTTTTAAAGTATTGATATATGAAAGATTTCTTAATAATATAAATATTTGTTTATAAAATTATCTTTTTAATCACAAAATATATATGTGTGGAAGCAGGGATTTGAACCCATAATAATGAAGATGTTGAGAATAAATTACCTATGTTACCCTCATTTATTCTAAGATTTTAAGATAATATATCAGTTATATATTTCAACATCATTTTTCAAATGTTTTAATTTCTTCCCCAATATTTTATTAGTGTTTATACTCATCCTTTATAATTCAAAAGCTTTTTAGTATCTCAACCAAGTCTTTTTAAAATTTTGGTGATTTATCAACTAGACCTTATTGAATAACCAAATTCCAATTGAAATGAAATTTTTAGGATAAATCAATGCAATTTAATCAAGCAGTTCAGCTTTCTCGATCCAAAAAGTACGTTGTTGGAACTGGGTTGGAACGCATTGTAAGATATAAAATGAAATAATTTAAATGTATGGTTGTAATATGAAATAAAATATTAGTAAGCAAATATTTTTTCGTTTTTCTTAGCTATTTCTTAGGATGATAAATTAGTTTCTAAATGAGTATGGATTTTTAAGTAGAGATCGCAATGGAGCTGAGCGGTTAGAGATGTCTTGATCTTTGTCTAGAAATTTCGAACTTGTTGGATATGATAAAAAAAATGTATATGTTTGATTATAGCATTTGACTTAGTTGAAAAACTAAACCACTTTATAATTTTTAGGGAAAAAATGAAAAATAATAGATGATTAAGATAGCCTATCCACTAAAAGATAATGTAATGATAAGAAAACTTTTTTAAGTTGTAACACTCGGATGAGACCTTACAACTAAAAAATGGCAAAAATAAGTCTTGAAATTCAAAACATGAAACTACGATGGTGTGATATAGTATTAAATATTCATAGACATGTCGACATTTTTATGTATCTATGAGATTCGACATCGACATTTACACCAAAGAAATTCAACAAAATATATATAAAAAAAAAGTCTAACTAATATAGATATAATATTAATATCAAATATTTTTAACTTATTTGAAAATGATGAAATATTTATTTGTTAATTTAAATAGTTTTTACATATTTTTGTTTTTATAACTTTTCTAGAAATATATATGGACGTCAACATTTTATCGATATTTCCACCAGCCTCGATATTTACCTTTAAAGGATAAATGATCTTTTTTTAGTGCAACATGGGAAAGTGGAAGATTTGAACTCATGACGGCTTAGTAAAAAACATACGTCAATTACCATTGAGTTACACTCATTCTGTGGTCCTTAAGTATAATGATTTAATGTTCTTTGAGTATAGTTGATTATTGTTACTTGACCAAACAAAAAAACATCGTGGCAGTGTCATGGCGAAATATATTAATTTCATATGTGATATCTTCTTCCTTTCTCCTACCTCTCTTTTCCTTCATCTCTCCTCCTCGTCTGAGGAGGTTCTTTGCTGCCACCACCTCTCCTAACAAACCTCTCCGTCGTTGTAGACATTCCTTCAATGATTCTCGTCGTTGTTGTTACCTCCTCCCCACTCACTCGAAAATGAAGGTGTCTTTCACTAGAATAGAGGTGAGAACACCTTCGTTCCAAATCTAAAATGTATGTTACAAAAGCAACGAATTCTTTCCAAATCTAAAATGTAGGTTACAAAAGCAATGACACAATTCAAGGGAGGAGATGATAGAATGGAGAGAAAAGAAATGGGTGCCACATCATTATTAAATAAGCACCAATTTCAAACCTCTAACATCAAAAATTTATTTTGCCCCTAAAAAACTTCCACACTTTTACGGCTCGTTGGTTTTTTTCTCAACCAATTAAGTCTTTAAATTACAAATATTATGAATTTAGGCCCTCAAGTTTAAAAACAAGCTAATGACAATGTTTTATTACATAAAGTTTATATGACATAGTAGCTTAATTTGTTATATATTATTCTTATTGCCATAAATAAGAATAAAATTACTCCACAACTTTCTTCACATCCTTGTTCATGAATTCATTCCAAATACAACACTGAGGGTCACAAATTAAGTCGAATGAAAAAGCTAACACAATTTACTAACTAGTTAAGCACATATATATTTCATGCAGACATGAACAAAAAAAATTGTTGTATTTGATCTCACTTACTATTAACTACTATTACAAGCACGGAGCGACGAGAAAAGCGAGGGCTGTAACTGAAACCGAAACCGAAATGCTGCAAAGCTAGAAAAAGGACTGGGAAAACAAAATTGAACCCCAAACACCATTACCAACCCACCTTAAAACATTATAAATTAACTAAGATAATCCCTAATGACCCCCAACCTATCTTTGCAAAAAAACATCTCCATGGAAACATGCCAGCCACGCCATTCTCACTTGCATTCCAGTTGAAAGTATTCAAAATGATTTGATTTTATCATAGAGATTCTGGACTCATGGAGGGTCGGATTCGCGAGGGCATTTGAACATGATCTCGCCTGTACTGAAGAGAATTTCTGGGTGTGATTGACATTTTGTTTAATGCAGAATCAAATGCATCGATATCAAAATCTTGCTCCCCGTAGCTTCTTGCCATTGCTTCATCGTCCATGAGATTCTCCTCAATCCTATCCGGGAAAACCTCGGCAACATCTTCGTCACTGCTACCTTCGTCTTCTTCATCTTCATCATAGGTAGGTCTGACCATCGACCAGTATACAAAATGTGGCCGAAGATATCTTCATAAACAAAGGGGATAAAGTATAAGTTAATCATTCAAATAACAAATCAAACAAAACATTCCTACTTTGCCAACGAAAGCTTGATTTTTTTTTTTGGCACTGATCTTTGAGATACAACCTATAGAACAAAATCTTATAATTCTATCCTTACTTTTTCTTTTTGATACCTGGCAGTCGGAGCTTTGAACTTGAGACCTCTAACTGACCAAGAGAACCCAAACAGACAGGCTAAGGCTAATTCTATTCTTGCTTATGCTTTTTTTTTTTTGGGGCGGAGGGGGGTGAATTCATATATATATTTTTTTTTTTTTTATCAAAAACTGAAGTATGAAGACTAAGAGTATAAACCTGTCGCATCTTTTCAATAGGCAAGGATCAAATGGGAAAAACATGTCCAGCCTTTCCATCCCACCAAAAGTCTTTGAATATTCAGACTCCAGCAAACCATTAAATACAAAAGTCTCTGATGGTGTGAATAAATTAGCAACTTTTGCCTGCCGAAGAAATTCCTCAACGATAGAAGGTAGGCAAACCTGTTAAATAAGGATGCGTTAAAACAAAATTCATAAAAGGAAATAGGACAGGACAGAGTTTCAGGCAGACAAGTCTAAATAGATTTGTAACTAAATGCATGGGTAGATGTTCATGAGGGTGATTATTGTTTGTTGTTTTATCACATCAATTGAAAAGTAATGAAGTTCTAAATTTGATGCTTCAGGCTACCAGAGTCCATTTGTTTCCTTGGGTTGATTTCAAGGATAAAGAACAGACAAACAGATTAACAACAGAAAATAAAAATACTAAAAATCAATGGATCAACCAGTTACCCACCTTCAGAGGATTTAATCTATGTGTCAAGACTGGACCTATAGGCATGAGCAGAAGTTGTGACTTCAGCCGCGGGATCTCCAAAATCGATCTCATCCGGAAGCAAAGCACATACATAATGGCCTGTGGGGAAATAATTTCTCTAAATCAGAAAAGAGACAACAAACTTCTAAAATGCCAAGTTTACCAGTAGTTCAAAACATCCAAATTTATCCACAAAGAAGCAATTCAGAAGTGTTCGCATTGAATTAATATTTCAAAGTACCTAGTAAAATACTACCCCATGTCTCCAAAATTGTGGGGGGAATCATAACAGACTTTTCAGTAAGTAAAATAAAAAGATTTACATCAAAAAGCAGGTCAAAAAGGCTATGAAAATGATGATTACAAAAAGAAACTCCAAATACCCCCAGGGACACCCACCCCCACACCCACTCTAAGGTCCGGACCCAAGAGACATCAAGGGTTTTTGGTATTAAGCTCATCGAAAGGTTCAAACTTGAGAACTCTAAGCCAGTATGACTAAGAGACCCCAAACTCTTGCCAACTGGGTTGTCCCTTGGGGGCTTTTTTTTTTAAAGCATTTGATATAAAATAAGTCAAGGATTCTCTAACCTAAAGGAGTTTCAACGAGTCCATGGTGTAGGAAAATGTCAACTTTTTTATGCTTCCTTATGGAGTTTCCACTGCCAAAGAGTTCTATAACTATATATATATATTTTTTAACTAGGAGCCGAAGCTAAAGAGTCTTATAGCTATTCTCACTTTTAATAACTTCCAATTGGATAATCTATCCTCTGAGTTTTCGGTTGTTCGGAAAGTTGGAATGTTTTCCTATGCCTTCAGCAGTTTTCAAAGCTTTGCAATTTTAGTTCCGTTGGTTGGTGAGGCTTTCAAAGTTTTTCTTCAATGTGCGGATTGGCATGTGATGGTTTAATTTGGAGGTTTTTTGAAGACAGCCTTGAGGCTTAGTATAAGGTGATTACTCATTATTTGAATTCCGGTTGAGGTCTAGTTCTTGTGTCCCTAGATTCTACTTGGTTCTTTTTGGAGTTTGGTCTTCGCTCTTGGTGCTAAGGAAGGTTTCTTCCCTCATGCAGATGTTGGCTCTGGATTTAGTTTGGTTTTCCAAGCTCCTGAGCAGTTTTCCTGAGTTCCGTTTTAGAATGTTTTTATCTTTTTTGAGCTTGTATGGCTCTTGTTGCGCTACTTCTTCGTTATTTTCTCTTCTCGCTCCTCTTTTTTCACCCCTTTGGGGTTTGTATCTTTAACATTTTTCCTTTTAATATATCAATGAAATTTTGTTTCTGGTTCAAAAAAATAATAAGAAACACATTGTTTTTAATAAGTAACGTTTCATTTATGAACTTATGAATTTTATTAATATCAGTAAAACTTAGTTTCTTATCTAAAAACAATATATCTAAGTTATCATCATCATAAAAACTGAAGAGTAGAAATAACACTACATCCAGAAACATAATCACTTCCTACCAGTTCTCAACCAGTCCCATGTGACTTCGTCTAGCAAAAGGAGTTAAAGCATTGCATACCTGACAACCAGAATAAAATACTTTATGAGCCTTTGGGTTTAGGTCACCATCACGTGTTTTGCAATATTCTAAACACCAGTCCACCAGTCTGAAAAATTAGAAACAAAATTAGGCTTAGGATCAAATTATTTACCCAATTACCCTTATCTAATTCTATCAATTTCCTGCTTTTCATGACAGAAAACATGGTTAAAATTGACAAGCAAACCTTTTCAATATGGTAGTAACCAAGGAGGTTGACAGAAACTTCCCACGAGACAAATAACTCGCAAGATATGAAATGGCACTCATCCTACACGACACCACACAAAACATATTAGTTACTGCAAAAAGTAAGTCGAGGATCTGCATAATAACATAAGTTTTGTTGTAAAATAATATTTCATGTCAAGGGCTACTAAGTTAAAAACATAAATCGCAAAGAATTCTTATGTATCTATTGCTTTCTTCACTTTTGTTTAGTAGCTTTATTCCTGTCTCAAATCATGAACATATAAACGTTTACAAGAGCATAGGTTTAGTAGGCTCGTCCAATTGTAGATATTTCTATGTTAAATACTAAGAGGGGTTTCTTTTATTTGAAAGAAGGAAAATTTAAATCTCTTGTTTCAAAAGAAAAAGAAGAAAAAATAAAAAACACTCAGCACCCTACTTGCAGTTTCAGATTTCTTAAATGAGTAAGGCCTTGGAAATGAGATTCAAGTTAAAAGGCTACTAAATATACAAGAGATGGGAAAAGCAAGTATTCTAAAAAGAAGAGACAACATTAAATATGTCAGTCCCGAGATCAGATCTTCTTTGAAGCTTCCAAAGGAAAATGAAAACAGACTTCTGATGAATGGTTAATACCTGGTAAGTGGAGGATCATTGCAGGAAACAAACATATCTGCTAGCGTAACCGCAAATCTTGCACCACAAACTTCAGGATCTAGTGCACAAGCATAGAATATCACAAACTGCAAAGCGAAAGCATCACAACTATGACATCAATCTACATGAACAATGAAAATGATAAAATGAGAGTTCATTGTACCACAGAGTCAATAAGCAAATACAGAGGAGATTCATGGCAAGGGAATGTTAGTTACCTGGGCAAATTTAGACTTGTAAGCAGTCAGAACAGTTCTTTGAAATGATAGGAGCAAAATGTCAAAAACCTAACCTCCACATTAAATAAACATGGAAAATCTCATTTGCATTATAAATCAAAGATATTGAGAACTAAAAAGAAGATATAAACTACTCAAAGGTACCTCGTTCAATCGTCCACCTAGTTCACATGATTCAAGATGTTCAAATGTTAGCACGATCAAGCTATCCAACGTTTCAGCAATTACATTTCCACATAAGCTCTTACGGCTTAGTTCTCTTGGAAACTAGAAAAATAAACTCAAAACTCAGCCAAATAAATGAAGGAATGAGCTTAAAATAAGTATCAAGCATCTGGCAGAAAGGTCAAAATGTAAGTAATTTTTCAATAAAAGTGCATAATGTTTGAAAAACCTGACTCAGATAGAATATTTAAATTTTGCTGCACCAACAGACAATTTGCTCCAAACCAAGCAATATACTTCAGATTCATTACGCCATATATTAGAAAGTAGGAAATGGCCCCTCCTCTTTGTTTCGGACTGATTTTTTGGGTTGGAAATGTCTCACCCAGTCAATGCTTCCTACAGTTTTCTGGGGCTCATTTTTCCATTTTTTGATGGTCTATTGCTTTATGGGGGATCATTTCACATCATTGACTTCTGTTTTGATCAGTCGTCCCTTAGATGGGGAGAGGAAAATTTTATGGAACAACTATAATAGGGCCTTCCTATGGCCTACATAGAACAAAAGGATTTGCTGCAACTTCAAGGATAAGTATAAATGCTTCAATAGTTTTTTTATTCGTTGTTCTAGACTCTTTTCTGATGTAAAACTCTACATATTTTCACAATTATGGATAATCAATTCTCGCTGCCCATTGGAACTGTTTTTTGTAGTTTTTGGATATGATCATATGGGTGTTTTTCCCACCTTTTGTAATTTCATCTCACCAATAAAATTTTCTTATATATATATATATATATATATATATATATATATATATATATAAGACTAGAATTTATCTCAAAAAGAGTACAATGAATCAAATGTCATTATAAATAGTTGAGGAAATATCTCTCTTTATCCAGCCTAGATATTATATAACATACCTCAACAGAATCCTCATTAATATCATCTGTAATTTCATCATCATCTTCAAGTTCCATCTCAAAAATTCCTTTACTGAAATCATCTTGTAAGATATCATCCCATCCAATCTCAACCTATCAGAAGGTTAGAACTCATTATAATGATAAAGTAATCACATAAACCGATTTCATATCGCACTGTAAAATATTTCTTTAACGTACATCCAAATCTAAAAGCTTATCGATCAGTGCTGTTAGGATCTTTCTCCCAACAAATTCACTCATTGCACTTTTTTCCAACCTCAACATGTTCTCCACATATATCGTGGTCAACTACAGAGAGGTAAAATAGAAGGTTAATGACACAATCAAAAATCAAATTCCTAATAAAGAGCGCAAATGATTTGTAGTTGAAAGAGACAATTTGTTTTAAAGAAATATTCCAAAAGGCTCTTTTGAACAAACAAGAAGCATATGTAGAAATTGTCACTGAGGCCAGGGCAAACCATCTTCATGATATCTAACTCTTTTCAAGGCCTATGATATCTAATTTGTATGAACCACAGCCACATTTATACACAAATTTAGGGAAAGGATTTTTTAGTTTGAAAGATTGTATAAATGTAGCATCGAGTGAATATAGACTGCCTTTCAACTATAAATCATAATCAGGCATTGTTCCAGTTTGAACCATATATTTGGTAGGGTCCTTCAAGGATATAAATCTAGGCATCTTTTACTACAGTATGTTGAAGCACACTGATGCAATCTTGCGACTGCTTTATTAATAACTAACTAACAGCCACTTAACTACACCACACAATCAAATAATGGGCATTCAGCCTCATGCCAAATTTTCAATAGCCATTCAATTGGTGGTCATGAAGGAATAAAAGATGGGTAGAAAAGTAAAAAAAAAAAAAAAAAAAATTAGCAATAATTTTTTAAGAAAACATGACCAAGTAAAAAATAATCAAAATAACAATCAGTAAGGAATAGAGAAAATATTCACTTAGATTTGTCTTAGGAAACTTTGAGCTATGAAGATTCAACTCACAGATTCCTTGAAAAAGACTCTCTGCATTTTTTGGACAACTATTTGCTCTAATCTCAAGGGTGCAAGAGGCACCAAGTCCGAAATGTCTTTTAGAGCTGTGTGCACTCGAGAAAGAACTTCATCCTTTTTCGTAAGTCCACGTGGTTGCTTCAGAAAATCCACAAAGGAATTGGGTGGCATGAAATTATTTACAAGCATATCCAAGCATGAGTCCACATATTTTCCACTTGAAACGGCCTGAAACGTTAAATAGAGATAATGTTAGGAGATCATGGAACTGTTAGGTGAAACTTGAGAGAGAGAGAGAGAGAGTTCAGTTATCATAAATAATCTTACCAGAGATATTATTAGTTCAATCAAGGCGTCCATCACATCAGGTCCATAATCCCACAAGTTCATTTTAAAAATCTAAAAAAAAAAAATCCGTTACAATAACATAATAGCAGGATATAGATCTAGAGTTTAATGCTAAACTTACTGCTGCAAGAAGAGACTCGTGGAGAACAATGTCTATATATGAAACTGCTCCAGATAGTACCTTTAAACTAGTCTGAATCACATCAGGTGAATAAAAAACCAGTTAGTACGGAATTAAATCTTGCATCATAGGTCAACAACGGATATGAAGGTCATACCACAAGCAGGGCAACCTCATCGGGGGCTAGGTGAGATCTATGGTGTATAACACTAACAAGCTGGTTATATCTATCACTGTTGCCCTACACCAATAGAAGAGCTATTGTAAGGTTACCAACGTTATTCCTCAGACAATAAAGCAGTGAGAACTTGTAAGCATATCAATAGAGTACAAGCACCTCCGAATTCTCATTCTTTCTAGAGGAGCAAGAAAATATTTCTTCTAAAAAATGATGTATCTTTTAAAAGGCAAGATTTTTTCAAAAAATTAATGAATGAGGTCAAAACAGATAATTTAGAAGTATACCAGTGACACTGAACTAAGCGTCCCCTTCATGTAATCGAGTAACTGTGCATCTGTGAAATTAACATCCTCCATATCCTGGAATTGAGCTTGGCCGTTTGCCAGTTCTACTCCCATGATTAGTGCCCAGACCCTACTGGCCCTATTTCCACAGTGGGGCCTGGGAACAGGAGGACGTTCAAACCTGCAAACAGAAAGAACTTGCTAATGAAAAAACCAATCTGTAAAAAAGGATCGATAAAGATGCCAGAAACAAAGCACAAGGCCAAAAATACCCAGCCAATTACTGCAACCGAAATCGATGGAACCGCTCATTCTGTTCTTTAAAATAAAAATAACGGGAAACACGAAATAATGGCTTTTAATTGCTGAAAGTTCTTGAGAATCTCTCTTAATCTGATTCTGGGTTTCCTTTTTATCCCTTCGTTTAGATGGATAGAGGAGAAGGAGGAGGAGGATGTGGGGTGGACGTGGGCATGTGTTAGAAGGAGAAAAATGAAAGGGATGTACCTCTCTAGGGCGGGCCGGCGACGGCGAAAGACAGCAGCGACAGCCGGCGATGGAAGACGGCAGACGGCAGCACGGACGGAGGCGACGGAATACGGCAAACGGCGGTGGCGAACGGGCGACTTGCTTCTACTGGCGACGATGGACGAGAGGAAGAGAACACAGCAAAGAGGATCGAATGGCGAGGGAGAGAACTGAAAGAGCCGCAAAACTCAAAAGACTAGAAAATCAAAACCCTAAAACATAGAAAAAAACTAATATTATTCGATGAACAGTGGTATTTTATTTTTTTAAGTAGTTTCTTTTATTTTTTTAAGAATATTTGAGTTGTATCATTTTTTAATTATTTATTTTCTAACTATCTAACATAATTTATATATTGTGAGACTAATTTATTTTAATTTTAGGATAAATTAATTTATTTACTTAATCAATTCAATTTTTACAATTAAAATATATATATGTTTTTTGTTTTTAAATTTTGGTCTAAGATTTTAAAACGTGTTCAAAATTAAAGTTAAAAGTATGTTAATATATAAATATTAAGGTTAAAATATATAAAACTATAAACATATCTTTAGTTAAATAGGTTTGGGAATAACTAAAAATTTATGCTTTTAATTTTATATTTTTATGCAATTAGCTAACTAATTGAGTACTCAAGTTGGCTGACGTATTAATTAATACATCTCTTCGTATGAATAAAAATTGAAAAGCGAACATTAAAAATCTTTTCTATGAGTCAAGAACTGTACTTATTTATAAAAAATATATAAATATTTAAATTGATGTTAATTACATCAAAATTAAATTAAGAAAACATCATATCAAATAAAATATTTAACAATTAAACGTAATTACACTTGCCTCCTATCAAAAGATTGTGATTTTGAATCTTCATCCTTATATATTGTTGTATTTATTAAAAGATTATATTATAACACCATATAAAACTAATCTTAATTTATTTTTAAAACAATTTTACTTGTGGAGTCGAGTTGGGTTGACCCAACTTTTTGTACTCGAATCCACAAACCGAACCGACCTGCTTGGTTTAGAAAAATAGCAACCAATCCAACTAGATAGATGAGAGAAAGAGAGGAGAAGAGACCTTATGTCGGTGTTGACGTCAACGAGGCAAAGCCGGTTCTGAAGAGCTCCGACGACGGAGGGTGAAGAATGAGAGAAGGAATAGAAGAGGGTGAGGTGATATTACGCCTAAAGAATAAATAAACAAGAAACAAAGACTAGAATAGGAAACCCTATCCTAGGTGGAAAGGGAGCCTCGTTATTCTTATGGTACTTGCAATTATTATTGAAAAATTGTAATTGTCGCGATGAAAAATATCAATGTCGATGAATATTTTTTAAAATGTTGTAAAAATCAAAAAAAATATTTAAATTAACAAATAATCATCAAAAAATTTTAGAAGGATTGATATTAATATTATGTCTATTGAAATTTTTTATATTTTGTTGATTTTTTTTAATACTATAGAAATGTCAAATTACTCCTCATGTTGATATCAAACTCATGAATGCATGAAAATGTCCATATGCAGACAAATATTTAATATTTAATACCTTGACGAAATTGTTTTGAGAATAAATAATTAAGAAAAATAGATCTATTACCTAATGTGTGATAAATTTGAATTTTAAATATGGAGTAGGCTATGGGTGTATGATAAATTAATACTAAATTAGTGTGATTTAACTGTAATAATTAAAATACAAATTCAAATTTACTAAACTAGTTAAAGTATCTATTTTTTTAAAAAAAATTGTAAATCTCTACCTCTACATATTGTAATAAAATGATATATTAAAATAGACATGTGATTAAAATACACCCATTGTATTAGTTAATAATTTAAAAATCTTTTAAAGAAAATTATTTAAAATTTTATATGATCTCCGACCTCTTTAATGGATAATTGTACTACTCTCGTCTCATCTTTTATTGGATAGGCAAATAAAAAATCTTAAAATTTAAAAATCTATCATCTATAATCTATTGTCTATAATATATTAAAAAAGCAAGGATCCTTGAAAAACGTTTTTAGACCATTTAATCTCAATTATTTTTAATGAATTACAAATAGATCGATTGCTTTTTAGACCTTGTGATGTGTTGTCCATGAATTACTAACACATCATTAACCATTAATTGATTAATAAATTTCATTCATCATATACAAGATTGGACAACTCCGTACATATAAAAAAAAGCCTTAAAATAGAAAATATAAAAAAAGAAACAAAAAAAATTGTGTTTTGTATATTATGGGGTTCAAGTTCTATACTTCCTATACAATGAAAATCATATGCACCACTAGGCCATTAATGGCTTATTAAAAAGAAGAGAAATATATTATTTAACTTCAAACAACGCCCAGACACTAAATGAAAAAAAAGAAATGGCAAAAACGAAACTACTTTTCATAGTTTACAAAAGTTGGTCACTTTTTTTAAAACGTTTCTCAAAATTTAGAAACAAGAGACATAATCGGTTATCAAACATGTTTGTTTCTCAAAAAATGAGAAACAGGAACAAGAAACCGAAAACAGGAACGTTACCAAACGAGCCATTTAGTTTCCATTTATATATTGTTAAGGATGAATAAATTAGGGGTGTACATGTATACCCGTCAAACTAAACCGACCCGACCGACCGACCGAATTAAAGGCGATCGGTTGACTTTTAGCATGTGTTGGGCGATTGTCGATTTTGCATTGGTCAATCAGTTGGCCATAAAAGTTTACTGAAAACCGACCGACTTTTGTTCTTGCAATTCGTGAAAAGTTGTACCTCCGTAAATGAATAGCTATCATTGAAAAGATAATACATTGAAAAGTTACCCTCCATGAATAAACAAATTGTCGTTGAAAAAACAAGTAATTTATCGTGCATTGGCTTTCCCAATTAATTTAATTTGTTTCTTTCAAATTTCTTTACGTTTTCGTTTATCCTTTCCTCTCCGTTTCTTAGTCTCTCTCCCATTTTTCCCTTCAATGTCGACGTCGTCAACATCGTCTCATAGTGTGTCTTCCCTAACTTAATATCGATACTCTAACTTTTCATCTCAACTTTTCGTTCTAGCACCATCAAATCATCAGATTTTCTTATGGCTGCTCAGATCCGCCACGAACCCATCCCCTCACAGCCCTCAGATCCGTAACAAATCCGGTCATTTTCAAGCTGGATTCAAGTTCGAAGGTTTGTCAAAAAACACAAAATAAAAAAAATGATTGGTTTGACTACAACAATAAACACCACTCAACCCAAAAACTTAAACCGATGGATTTGGTAAATTTAATTCATTTATATGGGTTCTAAATATATATGGACGTTATAGATAAAACTAAAAAACACTAAAAATATTATTTTATTAAAACAAGTATTCTGATATTCTAAAATGGTACTATATACTATAATATTAATTTCTACGTTGAAATTACAAAGTTTAGCCTCTGAGGTTTGTTTGTGTTTCTAGTAAAGTTTAAAAGTCTATTAAATCTTTAAACTCCCGATTTTTGTGGTTAGTAGTCCAACACACTAACTTTTGCAGGGAGTACATAGAGTTGTCTAAGGATTATACAAACATCGTATTTTTTATTATTATTATTATTATTTTGAGATATACAGTTTGCAAACGATCTATTAAAATAAATGATGAATATGCTTCAAGAAAATAATCTCAAATACAGGTGCCAATCCTAGATGTTTTGATTTTTGAAGTTATTTTATAATTGAAGAAAATATATTTTTTATTATTTCTGTTCTAAAATTTTACTTATGGTTAGAATTTTTTAGTTTAATTCTTATAAAAAAAATAGTTATTTGGTATACATTGGTAAATTCACCAGTAAAATAATGCAGGATTTTTTTTGGAGGGAGTAAAATAATGCAGGATTAAATGAATTATAATATAAATACCACATGTTAAAAAGATTAGTTTACTGAAATATCGGGATTTTTTTTAATATTACTATTTTAAAATTTATTTTAAAAGTATTCTCAAATCTAAACTTAATAAAAAAAATAACGCTTCATAAATTCCTTCACTACTAGGTCCCTCTGAATTTGAGGAATTGATGATGTATTATTATTATTTTTTAATAAACTTGAATTTGAGCATATTTTTAAAATAAGTTTAAAAATTGTAATATTTAAAAAAAAAACTATCCGAAATATCACGCTTAGGTATATATTTAACCAAAAAAAAAAAAAGAAAGATAATTGTATGATGCATGTGTCTCATATTAATCTATTTTTTGAAATTTAAAACGATTTAATTGAAATATGACGTCAGCACAATTCTTAATTCCAAAACGGAGGAGGGAAAAAAAAATCCAAATCCTACCTGGACACGGACTTCACATCCTCATCTATAAATTAGTGCTAACATGAGTATAAGTCAATGATTAAGGCATCTCATTCTTCCTAGATCGAGGATTCAATCCTCCATTCCAATATTTATTGCACTAAAAAAAGTTTCACTCTCGAAGTTTCAATTCATTCCTTGTCAAATCTTTCGAGATGAAGCTTATAGAAAAGTTGCAAGAGCTGTTGAGAAAGCCAAAGTCAAAGAAAGATCACTTTGTAGTCTACGTGGGAGAAGAACAAAAGCGATATGTCGTTCCACTGAAGTGTTTGTCGTCCATCATATTTCAGTCATTACTGAACAAATTTGAAGATGAAATTCATTCTCAAAAAGAGGGAAAGATGATATTGCCATGCTCCACTTATGTTTTCGAATCTATCTTAGATTTGGCCAAAGCTGAATAGCTGTATATTTGATGTATATAATCATTTACTTCGTAAATGCGAATAAAGATAAATACTTATAGATTCATAAATTTTCGATTTCAAAAGTTTGAACTTTGTAATAAGTATTGAATTTTCCAATTGTATTAAAGGATTGGAATCAGTTGGCATAGATATTTTATTGCTAAATTTGAACGTTTTATTTTTGTCTACTCGATTTTTTTACTTTAAGTTTAACATTTTCATGATTGAATTTGAGCATTTTTGTGTCATAAGTTTTCGGTGTCTTTATTTAATTTGATTCATGAACAACAATTTTAGTTTTGAGCATATTTAAATTAAGTATTTTAATCAACAAAATTGATAACTTTTAAAGTTGTTTTCATTTATAAAATTTACAGTATTACAGAACCATCTTATCTTCGCCTCCATTTTATTATCCATCTCCGTAAAATTTTCCATG